CATTTCGTCGGTTTGTTGCCGAGACGGCAGCTGACAGCAGCGAACAAGAGTTCACGCTGCCGGACTCCGGCGAGAGAAGAAAAGCAAGCAAGGAAAGTAAGGAGGTGGATAGAGAGAAAGAGGTAGAGAGAGTGAGAGCGAATGAGAGAGGTAGGCAGGGTAGCAAGATGGCGAGCTCCTTAACGTGGTCGTGTTGCCTGCGTTTTAAATTCAGCCCGGAGGAGATTGAGCAGCGTTATAAGAGCCAGGAGATCGACCGGATGCTGGAGAAGGATCGGCAGACGTTTCGCCGGCAAGTGAAGCTGCTGCTGCTTGGCGCGGGAGAGAGCGGCAAGTCGACATTCCTCAAGCAGATGCGGATCATTCACGGAATCAAGTTCGAGGTAAGGGCCGAGGAGTTCCATGCGCGACACCACGTGATGGAATCGGTGCCGTCTCGCTTTCGAATATCGGTTCGGTTGTCGTACGATCAATGCCATCTCGTGCACAGCACCTGGCTTCTATTTAATTACCCAAGTATTTAACCTTCACATAACTTATACATTAATGTATCTTTTTTTATCCTATTTTTTCATTATAATTGAGTATAGTATAGTATTTTATTTGTTGAAATCTGTTTGCATTGTGTATTTTTTACAAAAAGAATGAAATAGCTCGTTGGCCAACCTTTTCCTACAAAAAGATGTGTAAAATAAAATAGCAGAGTATAAAAAGGTATTCCTAAAGTAAAATGTTGAAAAATGCAATATATATCTGTTTGATTTCAAATTTCAACTATTTTACAGACTTCCATACTAATGATATTTCAATTTCTATCATTGTTAATTAATTTTTTATTTAACTTATCATTTTATAGTTAAAGAATAAGTTAAATCAAGGTTAAAATTAATCTACATTGGTAGAAATAAATATTTAGTCAGTTTGTGTTTTGCTAACCAGAGTTCTACAATGAGCCGATAGTCAGAAATTCCAAGTAGTCCTAAGTGTCTTAATCGATGAAATTGGCCAATAGCTAACTTGTACGACAAAGTCTGAGTACAAGGATTGTAATACTTGCATAGACTTATATTGCAGACATAAGCAACATACAAGCTTTGGCATATGACATGTAACTTATTGTCATTTCTTGGAGACACAGCAATAAGTTGAACGTCATACTCCAAAGCTTATATGTTATTTACATCTATAACTTAAGTCTAAGTGTTACAACTTGTGCTCAGATCCTAAGGTTAAGACTGGTTAAGACTTCTGATTACTGACTACTGACTCATTGTAGAATCTCCGTAAGAGTTGGCATTATAATTGAAAAGAAAAAAAAAATATGAGTAGTAAAATATGAGAGATCGAATATGAGTAGTATAATGAATAAATAATATAATGTGTTTTATATGTGTGCATATGTATAATAAATTATGTATTAAACTAAGATAAAAAAGATGAGGGCTAAATTCATGGGCTGTGAAAGAAGTATTGATATCAATTTGACATGCGACATTTTCTGTCATATCTCAAATCTTTTACAAAATAATTTATCATTTAAAAATGATTAAAAATTCCGAAACTAAAACTCATTTTAATCAGAATAAATATTTTTCATTGAAATTGGCAATACATTAAACATTTAATTATAGATAAAAGTAGCACTTGTCACTAATTTCGTTGTAAGCATTAAATATATTTTTCTTGATGTCATTATATCACAAAGTATATTATAAAAGCATAAATATCATTTGTTTCTTTCATAAGAAATATATTTCAGAGAATTAGAGTTGATATTATGTATTATATATTTTTTCAGCCTGAACTAATTAAGGAATACCAACATGTAATCTATCAGAATATAATAAAGGGTATGAAGGTTCTAGTAGACGCACGGGATAAACTAAATATTCCTTGGGAGAATTCTAAGAATTATGATATCGGTTTTCAATTACTCAAGTTTGAGAATACCATGGTGCTCGACACTAGATTATTTCTGCATTATGTGCCAGCATTGCAAAGTTTATGGACGGATGCGTCGATTAAAAGAGCGTTCGATAGGCGAAGAGAATTCCAATTGGTAAAATCTTTTTTTCTTTTTTTTAATTGTTCAGGTACGAATCGTGTGCATGCATGCATACATGCGTTCGTGCAACTGATATAAATGTAATAATTGTTTATTATTTCTATATTATTTCTTAATTTATGTGTTATATTTATATATGTGATTTGATATTTCCAGAGTGATTCTGTCCAGTACTTCTTAGATAATCTTGATAGGATTGCAAGAGTGGTAATACATTTTACAATTTATAATTACACACAACAAATTAATATATATTTTTATTTACTATAAAGTGTAAAGACAAGTGTATTTGTGTGTATGTTATTTTTAATTTTTATTGTCTATAAAGTGTATAAATATTTTTTAGGATTATACACCGACACATCAGGATATTCTACACTGTAGAAAGGCGACAAAAGGAATTTCTGAATTTGTAATACCAATTAATAATATTCCATTCCTCTTTGTTGATGTTGGCGGTCAAAGATCTCAAAGGCAAAAATGGTACCAATGCTTTGACTGCGTGACGTCTATACTTTTTCTTGTATCATCATCGGAATTTGATCAGGTCTTGTTGGAAGATAGGTATGTCATTTTTTTGTTTATTTTACAAGATCGTAAAATAAATGATAATGTTTTTGTTTTTATTATCAATTAATCTTGTAGGAGAACTAACAGATTGGAAGAATCTAAGAATATATTTGATACAATCGTGAATAACATGATATTTTGTGGTGTGTCTATAATTTTGTTTTTGAACAAAACGGATTTACTCGATAAAAAAGTGAGGTCACAGGATACAAATATCCGTTATTATTTTCCACAATTTGTGGGTGATCCACATTCCATGAAGGACGTGCAAAATTTTATCCTCGATATGTTCGTCTCGGTCAAAAGGGATCCAAGGAAACCGTTGTTTCATCATTTCACCACTGCAGTAGACACGGAAAATATTAAAGTCGTCTTTAATGCTGTTAAGGATACTATTCTGCATCGAAACTTAGAGTCCCTTATGCTTCAATAGTGTAGAAATGGAGTAATTAACCAGATAAACAGCTAGTAAAACAAAGGTATGCATCAAAAATTAACATTTAATATATTATTAACCCAATTTGTAGTTTTCGAAGAATATTGCAATATACACTATGTCAAAACACATTTTGATAAGACAATATATATATGTACGAATTATACAACTTTTGAATATTTACTTCATATGTAAATACATTTACAGTAAAGAAGAAAAAACTGCCTAATGTAAAGATATATTTTAAAAAATTTGACTTTATATACACTGTGTATGCGTGCGTATACATGCATGTGCGTGTATGCATGTTCATAAATAAAAATATAAATATATATGTATATATGTGTGTGTGTGTGTGTGTGTGTGTGTGTGTGTGTGTGTGTGTGTGTGTGTGTGTGCGCGTGTATGTGGGTGTGTGTGTGTGTGTGTATTATATATACTGAATCATGATGAATGTTCAGTATTTTACCATAGGAGATGAATTACCGACTGTAATTGGAAAAAGCATAGGAGACCACGCCTAAGAGAGAAATATTCATCTCCCATAAAATGTTGAGCATACATTATGATTCAGTCTATGTATGCATATATATATATATATACACATACATATGTATGTATGTATGTATGTATGTATGTATGTATGTATGTATGTATAAGAGATACAGTTTTATTATACTTTTGATAAATATTGAACGATTGCGAGATCACTACAAACTCTATTGTACATAATTTTGTATTCTATATATTGTCAATAATTTCTACGATAATGGTTTGTATAAAAAGAAAGGATCAGTTGCAAATAATTCAGTTTAAATTCTTACAGTTTTTTATGTAGCTATGGCTGCGTTCAAGGAAACATTTATTAGCACTATTTGTGTCATTCTATCTTTGATTCATATATGAACGATGAAGATAGAATGACACAAATAGCACTAATAGTGTTTTTCCAAATGCATCCTATATAAATAATTCAATGTTTTTCCCATGATTTAATATAAGATTATTGCTGATTGATATATTAAACTAGAATTCACAAATCTATAATTAACTTATTTTTTATTTAAGATTAATAATTTTTATTACTGAATACATTAATCGTATGAAATGCCAAAGATAATGATTGCGTTCCTTCGTTTTATGTTCGTTATCATGCTTCTACATGATAGACTTTTAAACACGATGCTTTCAATACGATGTTTTTTTGCGATCGCTTTTGGCATTCAAACGGTTAAATAACAAGAAAACCAAATATTAGTTTTCAAGCCATATAAACCAAATGAAGCTAACCAGTTTGTGTTCAAATTGCTGTGGAAAAAGTTCACCCATTTTTTTCCGAAAAAGCAGTGTTATATAATATAATCAAGGTTGGGAAAGTTACTTCGTAAAAGTAGATAGTTACAGTTTTTTTGTTTCAAAAATTAACTAGTTACGGTTTCAAATAAGCTATTTTAAAAAGAAACGAGTTACAGTTACAGTTACTTAAAAGAAACTTTTCAGTTCCTTTATTATTATAGAACAACATGAGTAATATTTTGATACTATTAGAGCCAACAAAGGATAAGATTTATTTACATTTACATGTTTACATTTTTATATATAGACAGGGTGTATATGACAGCGGTATTGTAACTTTCGTGCCTTATAATTTTATTATGTTTTGAAAAATTCTTCACTAAATGTTCTTCACATCAGCTATTACTTAGATTCTGGAATTAAAAATAGGGTATCCCATTTAAAAAAAGTCGATTTAATCTTGGCGACGCCTCCCAAGATCAAATGAATGTGATAAATATATAGATATTTTTAAACCCTATAATTTATGTCTGAAACATTTTTCTTAAAAATGCTTTATTTTCAAAACCTATTCAATCATTTCCAGACTTTTTATACTAATTAAAGGACTCTCAATCTTAAAGTATAATAAACGAAGCAATAAAAACAAGGCTACTGAGAGTTACAATTACAGTTAGAAAAAAAGAACGAAGTTACGTTAAAGTTACTGAAAAAAGTAACTCTAACTATAAAAGTTTCTTTTTATACTGATGCTAGACTAAACGATCATTTTTATCAAAAATGCTTGATATTTGTCAATTTTTACTACGTGATCTGTTTTGACGCTACAAATCAACATCGAGGATCAGCATGAAAAAGCGCCTCAACTTAGTTATAAATTATTAGTACTTTCCAATCCTGAATATAATAATATTTAAATCTTTGTTTCTTACATTGTGTAAATGAATTGTAGGCTGCTATTATTGTCATTTAACTGAAGATAATTATACATTAACTAAAATTGTTTTTCTAGTTATCTAGAGTGCTATGTTGAATCGTATCTTTTTATATAAAACATATATTGTTTGAAAATCTTAAATTCTTTATCCTTTTTTATGTAGATATTTAATTTTTTATATATTATGTATCGTCCGTTATGTATCTCTATATATCTAATATAGAAAAAATTCTATATATTTCTTAAATTAAATACAATATTATGAAGTATAAAATTATAAATTTTAAAGAAATATAATAGCAGCTGTTTTTAATTTCAGTGTAATTATATCACATCATAAGTGTAACAAGTTTTATTTATCTATTCTGTATATTTGATAACTGATCCTTTATTGATTATTACATTTTTAGAAGAAAAATAAAATCAGTATTATTTTTTTCATACTATGTGAATTAACCAAATTTTTTACTTTCTATATTATTTACCAGATTAGAACAGCAATTTGTATGAAATATATCTAATTTAGCATTATAAATTTAATATTATATTTGTTTATACATATGCGTATTTGTTTATGAATTTTGTTATTTTATGATTGCAAATAGATGTCGATTTGAAAAATCTGACACAGTTGAACTGAATATTGTAGTATACCAAAAATTCTGAAGAAAGTAAAAATATGTATTTTTTTTGTAATATAAATTATTATCGAACTATGTGTTTCTGGTGACGAATGTTAGTATTTTTTTACTGTGTGCATATAAACTGTATCTAAAGATTTTATGTAATAATGTTGATGATTAGGGAGATAGATTAATTGAATATGATTTTTTATTCTATGTATAGAATAAAAAAATCATTTTCATACGTTATTCTTTATTTTATTTTTTATTAGTTTAAAATGGATATATACAGGATGTGTTTGATAATTATTTGTACAAGGTTCGTAGGTAAATAGAGTGGATAAAACTGAGGACTCGAAAAGTCCTGTACCATTTTGTGATTTTCGCAGTAATTAACGAGATATTAATTACTAAAGATTGTTGAATGAGTCTGGCTTGGAGTTTCCGAAACTCGAAACTTTTCTATATTTTAAGGTTTTGCGGTTTTATTCTCGCCGCACGGTTGCATTTGGTATTACATCGGGCGAATATACGCTTATTCGATTTTAAATAATTAATATTTTGTTAACGGTTGCAAAAATTACAAAATGATACTGCTCGATTCAGTTTAGTTTGCTATATCTGCCCATGAGCGTTGTTAATAATTAGCAGACACTATGTGCATTTTGTCTGTGCACGCGCATTGTATACATAAAATTCATAACAGATGGTACAATCAAGAAGGGAATGATTTTTTTTACATGAAAAAATAAATCAAAAGCGTAGAATGAAATTTTTTTTATATGAGGCTTTGTTTTCGAGAAAATGTACTTTAAATATTCTACAGATTTAATTTATAAATTAAAACGCTTAGAACACGTTAAAAAGCGTTCATAGAAATCTACTTCAAAGAGCAAAATTATGTACTCGATAAAATGGACATTTTCAACAATTTATATATTTAAATGTAATAAAATTTATTATTCGTGAATATTATATTTTTATTATGTATTTTCGATTTCCCAGTACAATAATGAATATAAACATGAGCAGAGATAGTTTACATTCAGATCTATAAGTTAAAACATAATTAAATGCACACATACCTAGTGCATATGTAAAATCGATTTTCTCAGAAACAAAGTCTTTTGAAAAAATTTTATTATATATTTTTGACTTATTTTTTCATGCAGATTTACCCTCTTTCTAGTATCATTAGTTCTTGAATACTTTGTATACAGGTATGTGTACGTATATAATATACGTATTTTTCAATACATATTTTTTCAAACATAGCTATGCTACAAGCCATTCCAATTCTATAGATTATTTATTACATAAAATCTTTGTTTTAATGTGTTAAAGTTTAATAAAGCGGAATAAGTTTATTAACAAATAAATTTGTAATACGCATTTTTATTATTAACCAGAAGTATTCTAATTATGTATTAAATTACACGTATATGTATGTATATGTGTATGTATATGTGTATGTATATGTGTGCGTGTGCGCGTGTCGCGTGTATGTATGTACATATATGCTGTGCGTCTGTTTATGTATAAAAAAGATACTGAGGTATATCGCATTTAAGCTTTTATACATAAACATTATTTCATACAAACAGCTGATTGTATAAAAAATAATTGATAATCGGTATATTTTGTAAATAATATTTTTACATTCCTATAAAGATAATCAGGTCCAATTTCATCGTTTTTATAACAATAGTATTGTCTTGAACATACCTTGTTTTTATACTAGTTTTTATGTATATGTCGTTTACATACAATTGATATGTTAATACTCCTTACACAGAGAGAACGTCTATGATTTTTATAAAAAAATTTACAAGAGATATAAAACAAACATTGACATTCATCACATAACGAATTCGTAAGTATAAGTTTTAGTAATTATATTCTACGTACAAAATTCTACGAAAAACCCAAGCTTAATAGAAAATTCTTTTGATATTTAAGTAGTCAAGTCATAGATGTGGTTAAAATTTGGGGAATTATGTTAATAGTGCATTTGGTATATATCTTACGTTATGCTACGATTATATTTTATTGAAACTATATTCTTGAAACTATATATCGATATATGATGATGGATGTATCATATATATAGTCTATTAAGCTATTTATAAATGGAACAAAAAATATACATGTAATGATACAAACTTGAAATTTTATTATAATAACATAGATTGAGACTATAATAAATATGATAACATATTTCTTGAAAAGTTCCAAAATAATTTTTATATTTTTCTCAAATTCTTTAAAATGATTTTGATACATCCAATTTAATCTATTTATTATTAATATATTTCAAGTCGTAAAAAAATTGTTTAAAATGCATTTAAGCCAAATGTTGAAGAAATACCGTCATATTTATATATACTTTTATTCACACTTACATTCATAAATTAAAGGGAAGGAAATAAGAATGACTATTTTATTTACTTTTTTTCGTATAATTAAAAACAAGGATATGAATATTAAAACGAAGGAATAATTGGATTGTGTATGTTTGTGTATACATAGATAATGATTAATTTTTTTCAAATATTCTCATTACTTTTAGCGCAGCCATGCTCTTTATATTTCATATTTTTCATTTAAATTTAATATTTAAAAAATAATTGTTTCCCCATGGAACTTAGCAATATTTTTTCATATTAACAATAAGAATCTTTATTTTAGACCATACCATGTGAAAACACAATCAATACTAGAAATTAAAATGCCTATACCAGTCGAAGCTAGATCTTTAATGCTTAAATAATTCAATGTTGTAATTTTTCATATTAATATTGACAGACTTGTAGCAAAGTATACATTCTGAATATCAGTTGACAAATCATCACGTATTATTTATATTAATATAACATAAATTGTAAGCACAAAACTACCTTTTTTATATAAGATATTTAAAACCAAGTAGTTTTTTGAATTAAGAAAATTAAAGTTTTCTCTTTGAACAAAAAAAAAGTCAAAATTATCGTATCTTGTACAATTTTTCAATTTTTATAATATCTGATATTAAAAAAGAACATCAACGAATCATTTTAAATGAAATTTTTGTCAAAATAAAATTTGAAATATAAATATATTATGAATTCTTATTTTTTAATTCTTCGTAATCACACACACACACCACACACACACACACACACACACACACACACACACACACACTTCTTAAAAGTAATTCTTTATTCTTTAATTCTAATTTAATTCTTCCGTAATGATTACACCGAGGTCAAAATGATACCAGAGCGCATTTAACAGATTACCGTATATACAGAATTCGTTCTATGAAGTAAAAAAAAATTACTGGTTAAATGTACTCTGGGATCATTTTTGACCTCAGACTACAAAGGGTTAAATTTAATTATTTAAAATTCTTGAATTTTTGTAATTGGAAAATATTTTAACGTGTGACATTTCTGTTAGAAGTTTACATTAAAATCTACTCCATTATTCAGTGGAATAAATAACAGTCTCATAATTTATATCCTATGTATACATATAATGTAACGAAACGAAATTGTTTAAATCGTGTATATTTTCTCATACTTTATAGTGATGTCTTTTTAGAGGTATAGAGGAAAGTATTCTATGTATCATCGAAATACAATGAAAAAAATATGAAAAGGAAATATAAGAATAAACAAGAATAATGTAAATGGTACAGATGCATGATGAACAATAATCTGTGACATTTGAAAGCACAATAATATATTTAATTTTTTTAACGGTACTATAAAACAATTATTGATAATAAATTTTTGTAACATTTTTAAGTTATATATACTTCCTACATTTCGTAATTTTATTGTCTTGCATTTTATTATATGTGAGCTAAAGAATGTAGATATGTCGTGCCTTTTGTACATTGTACATTTGTATATAACAATATTTTACATGAATTATTATTACAATGTAGTTTATACACAAATAATAAACAATTTTAAAAGACATAATAGTATGTTAATTTATTGATAATAAATGTTAAACAAAAAATATAAATGATAATTTATGTAATAGTAGGCCAACAATATAGGTATTAGTGTGATATTAATTTATTTGGTCATAGAAAAAAACATTGAATACTTAATTACATCAATGGAAAATGTATTGTTATTATCATTATTCATCATTCATTCGTGATTCATGTATTGATATTAAGGCTCCTGAGTACTTCTCTCAGCCATATTGAATCGTCATAAGCATCATGATAAGCAATATAGTTGATAACTTAAGGAGCCTTAATATTATATATTATATTGTGTTATATGTGTTGTGACCATACCATAGACATGGAATCATACCACTAATCAATAATATAAATGCATTTCGTGTGCGTATACACATACGTTAATTTTATATAATAAATGAATACATCATTTTTTATTGAAGTATTAATTATTATATTTATTTATATATTGTGGTTTTATACAACGAGTATATTGTTAATTTTTACAATTGTGTGTATGTATGTGAAAAAAATAGCTTAGTTTTCAATCCTAATAATAGCAATTTTTCTTCAAATATTGCTAATATGCAATATATGCTAAATAATACAATACAGAAAATATTTTATCTAAATACATCACATTGGCAGTTATTCTAAGCGATTATAGTAATTACATTATATTTGTTCAAATATTTTTTATATTACAACACATTTACATTTTTCTTCCTTTAGTAATATATAGTATTAAAAACGAATACAAAAGTAAAAATATAACTTCATTTTTTTCAAAAGTTCACGATATGTTTTTAATTAGGAAAAAGTTTGTAGAACTGCAGTCTTTTATGTATTAATAATGCTATTAATACATAATGCCTACCATAAATGCCTACAACTAGACTGTTCACTTCGATATGTTTGTTGCTAAGCATGTTCGCATGATGTAACATAAAGTCACCAATCATACAAAATTAGGAGGGATTGTCCCAAATTTTGATTCTTTCCACTTTACAATGCGTCTCAAATTTTATCCCAAATTAAGATTACACGATTATGAATTGTCCCTCTTTTAAGTGTGAAAATAATAAATGTAAAATAATAAGTATGAAATATAGTTTTCAACTAATACATGAAGAATTTTATGATTTTTATTTAAAAATTCGGATTTATAAAATACATTCAGTAGAAAAATACAATTTTAAAAAATCGTAATTCTTGATGTAATTTTTGTTGTGATCTCATGTGATGTTATTACATTAAGTGTTATTAGTTATTTACAAACATATTCATGCATAATAATATAATACGTTCCATAACATTTATTTTAAAAGTGTTTATCTATTAACATTTAATTACAGTTAATATTGAATTTTTTAAATATTGTTTTTCTTCTTCTTAAGAAGTTGATTACCGTAATTTTTTTAGTTTCGAAGTTAAAAAATATTTAAAAAAAAGAAAATTTTTTATTATATTAAAAAATGTCAATTTTTCAATATTGTGTAATTTGGGACCAAACAGTGTATCGCAAAGACAAAACATCAATTTAAAAAAGTTTTCTCTTTTTAAAATGTATTTGTAAAAATGTCTTCATTATTTTTTCTCACCGAGATATTTAAGTTTTTGTAAAATGCGAGAAATCGCAAACATCTCCGAATTTATAAACGGTAATGTATATAAACGTGTAGTGTTGGTCACATAATAAATCCAGATCACATACACTCACATATAATATGCATACAGATAATACATATGCATGGATGGACATAGATAAGAACTTTTCAGCCTCACTTTTATTTCTTTTTGATAACCGAAGTGAGCAGTTTAGTTATAAAAATCTTTTGACAATAAGAAAATTTTAGAAAATGGCAGCATTGATCGATGTACCTTTTAATTCGTATTTTTTTCTCCTTATATTATAGCTCGATATATATATCGATTATTAAATACTATGAAATGCTCTTAAACAGTTACTTATGTTTGTATGTTTACGTAGCGTATAACATAATCTTGATATATGTAGATTTGTGTATATGATGCGTGTATTCAAGGAATGTAATAAGTAATATATGCTGCAAAATTATTTTCGAAAGATATCTGAGACAATTAAGAGATCTCACTTTCATTTATATCATAATAATACATGGTGTATGTCGCAGAAAATTACAACAAATACATATATATTCCTAGTTAATTATCACTTTTGTAAGGTATTATTTTGATTTGTTAGTTATTGTTGTTGCAAGAAGATACATTTCTGTAATTCAAAATTATAACTCGAAATTTTTCTAATACGAAAGTGTAAACATTTATTTTAAATCTTGTGCATTTGCTTTCAAGCTGATAGAACTTGTGTAATTTCATAGCAAGTTTTCCTAACTTATTACATCTCTTTAGAATAACATAAATATAATAAACTTATTAAAATCTGCGACTGTTAAACCAATTTTACACACTTACATTAAGAGTTAAATGACTTCGTCCATTTGATATAAAGCAATTATATGGGTGTAAACAATTAATTTAATTAACGGAAACATTGATATGAAAAGTATAAATATTTTCAACATATATAACAATCAACAACAATTAAGTTTAAATAGTTCTACATATCTCGTTTAGATATCTCGTATATATGTCAAAAAAAGTGAAAGAAAGGTAATAGTGTAATTAAGATATAAACAAATGTAATGTCAGGAAATGTAGAAAAGAATTACTTAGAGGCATAAAAAGATGCCTTAATTAATATAATATTATGCTAACCTGAAAAGAACTTAGATATCTTTAATTATGAGATTCACATATGAATTATGCATAAAAGGATAAATATGTAAAATACCGCGTGTTTTCGAAGATCTATCGCTTCGCAATAGATTTTCGAAAACGCGCGATATTTTACACGATAAATACCATATTCGAAAAGTTTTATATCCTAAAGCTTTAAATTTCAAATTTATAACTATTGCATTTTCAGCACCACTATTCAATTCGAGCACACAAGCTTCTTCTAATTGTACCTCTATTGAATGAATATCGTCATTCTACAATTCTCTCTCTTCGAATTTGTATACTCATAACAAAGTATATTTGTAAAAAACTTTCAAAAATTGGAAGAATGTACAAGTGTATATTCAGTTGTGCAAGCTATTAATATTTTCAAAAGTATTCTCAAACTATTGGTGCTTCTTTATCGAGATTCCCGTCGTATTTGTATAAAATTAAGAAGCCTATTCTGTAACTCTTAACGACTGTAACTGTAGCACTATGGTACAACTCGATAAGAGTTACAGAATAAGCCTCTAGTTATAATGAAGTTTCAATATTACAAGGCAAATTTATTCAGTAGAAAAACTTTGAAATATGCATCGGAAATGTAAAAAAATTAGAGTTCAAGCTCTTCAGCAGTGCGCGAGAGTCTATGATTATCGATACGTCGTCGTTGGCTACGTCTTACAGCATCCGCTCTGCGATATGGTTCGGACCTGAGACCAAGAAGAATATCCTCTAGTGCGCCATTGTATACTTCGTCTTGTTGCAGCAACTTTTTCTCTTGCACTAATCGTGTCTTATTCTTCAATTCGTTTATAACAGCATCCTAATATGTAACAGAATGTTAATTATAACAGAAAAAATTTTAAATATTTTTTTTATATAAAAAATATATTTATAATATTTTTTTATGTCTGTATAATAAATAAATATATGTATACCACCTTGATCAAAAAGTTCCCGGAATTACCACCAGGTGATGCTCTGAGTCAGCTGATTTGAGTTCTGTTTTTTTTTGTTAAGTTGCCACATCTATCATCGACGTTTCCACCAAATTTTATCGCCATAGCTTGACATTTGTAAAAGTTACGCCGTCTTGAGTACATTTACCTCTGCACGGTTTTCGATTTTATCCATTACCTCCTTTCGGCTTAAAACGCGTTCCCCGTAGTGGTTTTTTGACTCGATCGAATAGAAAAAAATCGCAGGGAGCCATATCGAGTGAATTGGATGGTATGCGTTTCGTTCTTGGTCAAAAATTCACGGATGTTGCAAAATCAACTCCATTTTTAAAACTGTAAAAAATTAAAAACCGTGCAGAGGTAGATGTACTCAAGACGGCGTAACTTTTACAAATGTCAAGCTATGGCGATAAAATTTGGTGGAAATGTCAATGATAGATGTGGCAACCTAACCAAAAAAACAACTCAAATCAGCTGACTCAGAGCATCATTTGGTGGTAATTCCGGGAACTTTTTGATCAAGGTGGTATATATCGAAATTCGTGAATCAAAATACTATAGTAAGAAAGTTATTTGTAAATTAGGGAGATTAAATTAAAGAGAAGAAATTTAAGAGATTAAAGAAATTTTTTTCTTTCTTTAAATTTAATCTTTAAATCTGTAAATTAAAGAGTTAGAGAGTGAGCTGAAGTTTATCGAAAGACAACCCAGCCTGTATCTCATAAACTTACTGTTTGAAATAAAAATGTACACATATCTTTTTTATCCAATTTTTTGAAAACTTTCTTACTGTGGTATTTTAATTCGCAAATTTCGGTACATCCTGATATGTTTCATAAATATATAGAATGTCTAAAATCAGCTACCATATTATATTTTGAAAACGGTTAAAAATTATGAAAAACC